GTCCAGAATCAAAATATGCTTTAGAAGCTCCAATTCACATGAAAGGGGTAGCAAAATGTCTTCATCGTTCCCCGATCAGGAAAAGAATGGGGAATCACGCCACTCCTTTCAGTGCAAGTTCGAGCTTGCATAAGTGTCGCGCGGCGCACTTCTTCGCTCTCGCACTGAGAAGAGAGACGTGTTTTTCGGTGCAAATAGTTTTGCACTCTCGAGCAGCAGAACCGTTCCTTAAATAATAATTTGGTAATTCCAAGTAGAAACTTCGTTTTACAACCGAATTAAATTTTTAAATTCAGTTTTCAATATTGTCTTTGTTACTTTCTGGTCATTGATATTAACTCATTCTGATTCTAGAATTAATCTACTTTTCAAAACATTATTCAGTTTACCCCATTTTGTGTTAAGGTACTTAGTTTAAAATGATGTACACCTAGTTTTGTTAGCCTTTCTAACTACAATATTTAGTATTTTATTCTTCGTTCATGATGTGGTACTGAGAGCTCTTTATTAACAAGGAGCCCTTTGCGATGTTATTTAATACAATGAAAAGAGAAAAAAACTAAGAAAAAATATAGAGAAAGTTTCACTAGAAAAATATCCAAACAGCAAACTAACAAGGAAGTGCTTCGCAGGGTGTTAATTGCATCTTACCCACTGGTTTCAGAAATGGAGTAGAGAAAACTAGTAACAAAGGCATTTGATCTCGAAGTTACACCAATGTTAATGCATTCAAGTAGAAATTCACTTCTGGAAGAAGAGTCACATGATGAAAGCTCTAATTGTAAGGTTATATAATTAAATATTTGAAAATTAAAGAATTGAATAAATCGTAATTTAATTATAAAAATATTTTTTAATTTCCAAAAATTCCGAAAAACGCTTAAAAATACTTTTCCCCTCTCTGTGCGCAGTCTGTCCCTCCCTCCCCCCTTTTCTCTCACTGCTTCTCCGATCGCATCCCGCAGACAAGAAAGCTGCCCTGAAGTCATTTTTTCTTCGGTTGGCAAACGTTGTCCAATCCTCACCCCGTATTTACACACACTTACACAACCACAAATGCCGCGGGCTTAAACCTTGTCCAATCTGGGGTGGTGCCCCATTGATGGGAAATACCTGGTCGGGGAAAAATATTGTATTTTGTCTCCGGATCTCCCCATTCGGCTGGTGAATAACACAGTCACCTCCCGTCATAAAAACAAGCACTACGCTTACGGGATTAATGATCACCTCAGTTGACGCATGAACATGAAATAATCGATGAATCAGGGAGTCAGTAGCTGCCCAGGAAAGGCTCCTGCCGAGGGTAACACACAAAAGTGGGTAAAATACTTCATACAAGTATTTTAGATACCAAATACAAAATACTTTCATAAAAGCATTTTAGATATAAAATTGTGTTTTAAAATACGTTTGAAAATACAAAATACAATCAATAGTGATCAAGTTTCACAACCTATTTCCCAAAACTTTGTTGTGGTTTACAATTGTACATGTTCCCCTTCAACACTACTAGTTTTTCAATCATAGTTTCTTCTTGTAATTGTAATTGATAAGTGTCTCATTCGATTAACATCGAATTTTGTAACAAGATCAAAGGATATAGTCGAATAAGGAGGTGCCAAGTGCCCCAAATTGATAATCGCGATACTCAGATAAAAGAATAAAAATGCCGTAATTCCCAAAAAATCAACCTCCTAGGCCAATCTTTTGCAGAGATACAATGAGAAACGTTTTTTTCAAATTGTATTCTTGCTCAGCTTCTATTGTAAGAATCAGTCTGAAAAAATTGCAGAGACAGGTGAAAATAGTTGAATTTGAAAGTATTTTGTAAACCAATTTTGGAGCCAAATTAAAATTTTAAAATTTTTGAAATTGATTTTTGGTATGATAACGTTGGAGTACTGTCTCAGTTGTTTTTTTTTGCTAGAATGTGTCTCATAACATTCTATAACATTTTTTCCAGATTTTTACACAACGTGGATAATAGTAAAAGAAATTAAAACCAAATTATATCAGTTTAAAAAATTTGAAATTTGCCCCAGAATGCGATTGGAAAAATTGTGCGCCAAAATTGAAAGCTTTGGGAAAGAACCGATGAACAGAAGCACAACATTAAAGAATCGTCTCAAGACACATTTCAAAACCACAACACATTCCATAGATTTTGACAATCCTAAAATACTCAATATAGAAAATAATTTTTGACAGAATAACCATGGAAACTCTAAACATAAAACTTCATAATGTACTTAATTCTTTCTAGGTATGTAAGAAATTTACTAACAATTATGATTTTATCCTTTCCCACTTAAAACACAAGTGTGGTTATAGATATCCCTCTTCCAATGGAATTTAATAATATAATTAACATCTGGTACAACTATCACTCTTCCCATCTTTCCCCAATCATAATTTTCACCCCCAACCCTGTTCAGTTCTTGCTCACACTGTCAGCCCAGTTTGATTCTTCTAACAACTTCCATATCGGATCTGAGATCTGCACGCGGAGATTACCTATAACTTCATTGTTTTTTCTCACACAATAATGGGTGGACCTCATTTTTCTTCCATTTTGAACTTTTAAAGTTTTAAATTATTTTAATACGAGTTGTTAAATAAAGTTTTTTAGAACTACATGTTTATCAAAATTTTACATATTTTTGATGAGAATCTTTTATGATATCTTAACAAGTTTGTATATCACATTGTTAAAATTTTGGATTTTCCTTCACAGATTTATGCAACTTTAAGCACCTGAAGATTACAATGGAACAATTGTCAAAATGTAATGAATGCAGTGTGCTTCAATAAATATAACTTTGTTTTTATGTGAAATATGCAATGAACTGTATCTAATACGTGTATTTAATCAACTTGCAATATATTATATTTATTTTCATTTTTACATTTCAATGAATTTTAAAGTTATAGATATTTTTAAAGAGTGAATTTTTACACGTTTTAAAGTGTAATTTGTATATAGTTAAGATTCTGTTCCACTCAATACTTTACATCACTAACCTCTGATAACTGGATTCCTGGATAATCTAACACAGAATAATGGAGGTCCCACTGTCATCACATTTTTATTTTATATTACATTTAATTTGAGTTTTCTCATTTACAAAATCAAGATGTCACATGATCTGTGCACAAGAAAAATATCACATCTCAAATACAGTCACTTTTTAATTCACTGAAGAAGTTTAGAAAATTGTAGATTTTTACCAATACCAATTTTAATAGTTGAGTCACAAGTCATTTGGTTCCGAGTAAAACAGTCTAAGACTGCAAAATAAATTGTTCTGCTGGTTACAACCATTCTCCTGCAAAATAATTTTGAAATGTGTCACTTTCCTTGAACTCAGAGTACATAAACTTATGTGGACAATGAATTTTATTACACAGCAGACTTATGTGTTTTAAAATTCAGAGAATTCACCAAAACGAATGCAAATACAAATGCTGGCACAGAAGCAACACTTATTTGCATTGAGATACATGGGAGAGTATAAATATAATTTAATTAAAAATAATAATGAAGTACAAGAGTTAAAAATTACCTACTGGTGGGAGAAGGGCTTAAATTAACACTAATTATGTGCTTCCTGAAGCTCACAGGGAAGAGGGCCCAAGCAAACTTCGCAATATTTGCAGTTCACACCCCACACACGGTACTTTAAACATGTATTACTGTAGAAATTTTGTCAAATCTCTCATTCAATGTTCAGAAAAAAATTTAGTGAGAGTAAATACTTCAAAAAGTATAATTGTGTTTCCCTTTTTCTTGATTAACTGCCTGACCTGGCACAGCATAGCCAGTTTGGGACTCTACATTTTGAGCTTGTACCTATAAAGGAAGAAAATATGCTTTACGTTCTGAAGACTCTCATTAAAGTAGAATTTTTACCTCAATGCACTCAAAAATTGAGTTTAAAAACAGTGACTCATTTAAAGGGTTCCTCAGTACTCGCATTATACACTACATTTTTACTTTCCTATATATGAACGTACGTACGGAGTAATATATGTAGTATAGGGGAAGATATGTAATGCGGCGGAAAATCAATTTTGTTTTCAACAGAAATATCATTTTTGGGGTCCACCGATACCAAAAAAGAATTTTTTTTCAAAACGTCCATCGGTGAGCACTACTAGCGCCTAAACCATGCTTAGGATTTTTTCCAAATTGAAGAGACCCCTGTCCATCTGGATCGAGTCCAAGCTTTGAGATTTTGAAAAACTTTCTTTAAAATTTGGGGGTACTTTGCATGAAGCTCAAAAAAGGCTCCAGTTTTTTTCTTTAAATATTTTGCAAGAATAGAGTACTCTACACTTATAAAAGTGGCATAGGTCCGATTGTCCCTGTTAACTTTTAAATTTTCGAAATTCCATAAGTATGAATTCTTTTCGGTGTCTTCCTTCAACTACAAAATTAAAGATAGAGATTTTACCTTCAAATAAAACTTGTTCTTCATAGTGTGTTCTTTCATTAAGGTCATGTACCTTTTTTTGAAAATTTTAGTAGTTTCATGTAATATGTGCAATTTTAAAAATTGCAAAAAGCTCAAGAACAGCTCCTAATGTTTTTTTTCAAACTTTTTGAATGGATTGCACTGTTTAATATGATGTAAAGTTAATTTCGGTGTATTTTTTTGTTTTTTAAAAAATTACACAAAAGTAATTTTTTTTAAAGATTTCTCACGCCGTTGATATGCTTATTTCCAGCAATTTGTAAACACTATTGTACTTGTAAGTTAATGTACTTAAAATGACTTCAAATTAAGTTTTTCTAAAACTCAAAAATTTTCTTTGAAAAAGGGCTTCAAATTTCATACAGTAGCACAAAAACATCATTTTCCTAAAAACGCCTCCAAATTTTTCAAAGAAAATTTCCATTTAGGACCAAATTTTACTGTTCTTTAATTATCTCAAAATAATATTTCCACACTACAATTAGGAAATCGAAAAATTAAGAAAATGTCAAAAAATGTACATTAGTTTGGCGATAATGGCAGCTGGTATGTGACTAAGACCGAGGCCAAAGGAAATAGAAAACTACTACGAGAATGCAATTCTGTAGCAGATTATAGCAAGAATTGAAACCATTGTATATAATCGACAATTAAATCTAGTCATATTAATATAATTATAACAATTAAAGACTATTTACTCACAAATAATCACTCTTAACTATATCAATATGCAATACTTTCATTGCTATTTTATAAAAGCGAGTTTTACACAGGTTTGTTCATGTTTAAATATTGTATTAATGTACTTATTAAAGCAAACAAATCTGAAATTTTCCGTCAATCCATGAAATATATTCTTAAATGGTCCATTGATTTGGCAATTGAAAGGTACACATAGGTCAAATTTTTGAACCTAATTTTTTTTAAATTGATTTTGAGATTAATAATAATACAATAAAGAAATACACAAAACAATATTATTCTGATAGCGTCCACTATCATAATACTTGAGCACACTTTGTGTCTCTCCGAGATTTCACCAACAGTGAAGAATTTAGAGAAAAAAATCCATGAAAATTAAACTCTGAGAACACAGATAATTTTAGTAACTTAATTTACAATTACTTTCAAATTCTTGAATACATTCTAAGATTTCAAACTCTTGAACACAGTTTGCAGTTTTGGGATAAGAATACCACAATCTTGTAAATTTAGCCAAGAAATTCAACTTATTCTATAGTGCTCCTCCAATAGTAAAAGGAATTAGTAATATGCTAGAGCCAATTGAATGATGCGTTACATTTACAGAATGATGAATCTTATAAATATAATAATTTTTTGTTCACACCTGATGATGCGTATATTACACAAAACATTGCGTTGCAGTATATATGAACAAGAAGAAAGGTGTTAAATTTAATGTGTTAAATGATTAACATTATTAGTAACAATCATACTTTTCTTATAAATTTGACTGTTTAAGATCATTTAATTATCCTCATATTCTTATAGCTTTATTGTCCCAATGTTTTACTTCAAGAGTACAAATTGACACTACTGACAAATGTTATTCCTACGAGTTCCCTTATTTTTGTTTGACCATTCTTCTTTGTAATACCAACTTACAATGCTTTGGTTCCTAGCTGACGGTTTAACATTTTGTTTTGAAGCGGGAAAGTGCAAACTTAAAATTATTATATTTTAAGCAAAAATTGGTAGAGTAGCATTTGAAAATTATCCTCATTATCTAATGATTGATTGTAGTAGAATGATAAGAATGATGAGACAGTATAACATTATCTTTCTTCTTATATTCAGGAATAGTTTTTACACATCATTAATTACTGCATTGAAATGACACAGGCTTAGAGAATCTCCTAGACATTCCTTTTGCCACAGGGATTGCTTCTCACGGTTTTCTATTTCCTTGAATTCTCATTACATTAATGTACTGGTCTTATCTATAGCTAGAGATTCTCGTTCTTTAGTTCTTTCAGTATGGCTTCAATTTCATCATTTTGTGATTCTACAATAATCCAAACATTTCCTAAATTAATCTACTGTTAACTGAATTCCCTTCAATTTTGTATCTTTGTTACTAAGTTTGTATGTAGTTATATTCATACAACATCCTCATGAAAATTTTTAAACGAAATTTCAAAACAATTTGCATGCAGGCTTTTTTAAAACACTGATGCTAGATAATTAAGAATAAGAAATGCATTTTAAAAAATTTAAATATTTAATCATTTGAAATTGAGTGATTTCTAAAATCATTACCTTCTTCATTGTCATAATAAATAACACAAAAATTTAGGGTGATACACAAAACACGCATTTGTTAAGGAAACCGATATCTTGTTAGTAATTGTATAATTAAAATATTTATTTCTGCACCAAGTATTTTCCATAAGTGTGAATTAAACAAATTTGTTTTATATTAATTAAAACAATTTTTCTTCAGTGGAGCAAAAAATTAAATTTCTTACATTTTTTGCCTATAACACCCACACCTAAATTGTAAAAACAGCCAAAAAATTTGCAGATATGCATTGGAACTTCACTGTATCACAATGACATTTTTCGACTTCTTCCTTGGCATCATTAGTGATCACAATAGACATTCCTTTATTATTCTCTGCATATTTTTCTACCAAATATTATGCACATTACTTTTTGATCAGACAATGCTTTGCAAAATTATAAAATCACTTTTTCAAACCTAATCTCAAAATAAGTGGGAAATGACTATTATTTTGCATTCAATAATCACTTACTTGATGCACCAAATTTTCAGCATATTAGTATTCTTTTTTAGGGAACATTTTTTGTATCTTTCTTTTGTGTTTATGGGAACCTTTATTTCCTTGAAATGAGTCAATTCAATTAATACTGCTACAGTTTTTGTATATTTGGCTTTCATCAGACTTTTTATAAAAGGTTAGTTACAAAAACCTTTGTTATTTGCAATGCCAATGTACAGTAAAATGAGTTTGGGAGCCTGAAGCACAAGAAAATGTATACACTTTGTGCTTCTGCCCATACGTCATAAACTTTTTTTTTTAATTTTTCTGACATTATATAAAAATAAATAATAAATATATAAATAAATAAATTTATAAATCAAATCTGTTTTATAATCATAATAAATTAAAAAAGATGTTGCACTCATGAGAAGCTTTGTATTTGTAGCCTACATTATTTGGACAGCTAGTGAACCGCCAAATTACAACGACACCTGATGGGGGGAAAAGCTGTCCACATTGTATTTTTGAGAATAACTATTGTATAATAATAAGTATTAAAAAGATTGTGAGAAAAACTCATAAAGAACCCTTATCTTCCAAATTTCAGAACAAACATTATACTTTTCCAATTTTGAATCTAAAATAACTTAATACAGATCTCTAATTATCAAAATTCTGCCAATACATTCCACACTTCTATGCGAGTGCAAAAGTGTCTCTATGACCACAATTATTGTACATTACAAATTGTCTTGTCTCTTCATATTCTCATTTCTTCTCCTACTTATCTTTTTCAAATCAATGACAATCTGATGTTTTATTAAAAGCCCGGGTTTCTTATTTTCATTGAAATCTTTACAATCCATTTACCTGAATATAAACTTAAAATTTTTTAACAAAAATTATTTTTCAATGGTTTAAATAATAATATTAAGAGCAAGAAAAGTTTCTTGCAATTATTTAATACTGAGTTAACCACAGCCTTCTGAGCAAAAAATTTTCTTCTAAACAACATTATCTTCCATAATACTTTCATCTTCTTCTACGTCTCGAATCAAAACTTTCCCAAGAATAGAATTCAAAGACTCAGCTGGACAGCCTTTTGGATCGGCCACTTTGATTTTTATATCTTCCTTTTGAAGTGGTACGCCTCGCTTTAAATATTTTCCAGCAACAAGTGTTTTGCCCAATTTCATGAAACAATCAAGTTCAGATGGTTGACGTTTCTTCTCAGGTTTGCCTAAGGCTTTTTCTAGCTCTCGTATCTCTTGTACCATTTTTGAAAATTCAACAGGTGTTAAGGAACTCTTATGATCTGTTCCTTTCCAACTGGGGTCAAGAGTAATGTGTCGTTCCACAATCTACAACAGAAAAGTGAAAAAAAAAAAAAAGTTTTTAATTCATATGGTTGAAAGTGTATTTAATAATTTTTATGAAAAATGTCAAGAAAATATTAGAATATTGAAGTAAGTAGGAACAGGTACTAACACAACCTGGTTCTATGAAGAAAAGCTATTTTTTTAAAATTTACAGTACCAAAAGTTTGTTACATTTCAATGTGCAGTAAATCTGTATTAAACAATTTGACATCAACCAGTAAAGTATTACAAAAGCTAGGTATTAGTATTCACTTAGCCTTTCAGGATCTCAAAAAAATGAGCAAATATGTGGCACATTTGGAAAAAAAACAATTTGTACATTCTTGTAACTTTTCATATACAATACTTCAAAACTAATACTTAAGATAGGTAGACAGCTCCGATCTTTAGAGAAGGCACTCAACCTAGGACAAGGTATCCCCAAAATATACCATGAAAAAAGAGCTGAAAAGAGGCAGCTCCAATACCAAACTATTCCTGTACAGCCCTTGTACAGAAACCAGATTCAACTCCTATTTTTGAAATATCTCACAGAAACAACACAGTAAATTCAAGTGTATAATGAACTAGGCATAACGAGAAATACAGTAAGAACCTTGCCAATCCAAAAATTTGGATAATCTGAATAAAATTTGGGAAGGAGGAAAAATAAATAAAATACTTATTAGTAGTATAAAGAAAGAATATTATAATTATTATACAACTGAACAACTAATTACTGAAACACAATTTGTCAAAATAAAAGGTTTTTTGCACTGGAAAGTATGGTGTATATCACATTTTTATGTAGCAGTAATTTTTACTTAGAGTAAGTTGCAAAAGCGGTAATCTTCTTTTGTCATAAAGAATTGAATCTGCTTGATGATGGAATCTTTACACTACGTTATCATTTTCACACATTGCACACTGTGTTGCATTGTCTACTAATCCAATAGATATGTTTGTATACTTATGGTACATTTTTTCAGGTAATTCAAACATTTCCAAATCCAAACACACCACACCCCCAATTAGTTCGGTTTACAGAGTTTCTACTGTAAATTGAAATTGCAGGTCACTTTAAATAGCCACATTGAATATGAAATAAATAGATATTTGATAGGCTGCGATAGAAAATATTAAAGGAACAAAGACTCAAATTTGGTAGCACATGAAACAAAGAAAAAACCAAGGGGACAAGAAAATTAGAGGACAATATTATGACTTGCTGCCTTTGAGGAAACCATGTTATGTTTATTCCACATGGGAAGGATATACCTACGAGCAAGATGGATGCTCTGAACGGGAATGCAAAGTAGTTGCTTCAGAAGAAATGTGATTTGTTCTATGTATAGCAGTCCCGCACAACCCTGCTTTCACGAGTGTTGCATTTAAGAGCTAGCCGTCTGCACGTGAGAGTTACAAGTAGTGGGGAGAAGGCTGCTATGCGAAGAGGAGAGAAGTCGAAGCAGGATCAATGCAGCATGTAGATTAAATGGGGTGTCTAATGCAATGATTCATGTTGTGAAATTATTTGCCCACTTATGTAAATGGGCAATCTGCCTAGCAACAAGGGCAATAATTTTCAGTTTATGTTCTTCTGTATGTATCGCCATTTTTTTTTTTTATATTTTATTTTACTTAATGCTCATTGAAACTCAAAAACAATATTTTATAGCAGTAGCCTCTTTTAATAATGTATTATGTAATTTTAATAAACAAAAATTTGCAATTAAATAATTTATTTTTCACCAGGCATGTTATGATCTCCGAATGTCAGCAAAATGGAGGAAATAGAGTGCAGTCTCTCACATTGAGATTTTTCTTTCATTGTTATAATCTGGCGGACTTTTGTGCAAATTACAAATACAAAATAATACAAAAATAAAATTACGAAAAGTTTGACTTGTGAATATCACGATAACAATACAAATATTATAACCACTCATAATGTAAAATACAAATACGCAATTTGCTAAAAATCATTCTGCCAGGCTTCAAATGTCACAACCTGACTCATTTACCATCCTAGTCATTCCAGAGATAGGGTTATTTGCAGTGTAGTTGTTTGTAGAAGTCACCATAGAAAACGCATCGTTATTTCTAGAGCGAATTGCAGAGACTCTAAAATTCAATTCTTCGAGTAACAGTGGGCAATCAATTCCACCATTTACTAACTTGAACACAAACAAGATATCATTGAAGTTACAAAGAAACGAAATAGAGGGCATGTTTAGGGAGAAAAAAATGAGACTATATAATACTGATCAACGGAAGGGTCGTCAATGCCTAAACATGTTGCACCAATTCTGAAAAACTTGTCCTGGAGAAATTCCATTTTAGCAGAATGAATATGAAAACAAAGAGACCAGACCACAGATGCAAATATTAAAATACTTTTAACAAGAATAGTATATAACGTTTTTAAAATGTATAGAGTTCAGAACATGTTCTTCGGACAAAACCAAAGTTTGGTTGGCTTTATTAGTTGTGCAGTCAATACGGTTAGCAAACCACACTTCAGAGTCAAAGTATACATCCAGATCCCGTATCACAGAGACACATTCGAGAGGTAATGCATTTACAGTATATCAGAAATAGGCTACTGATCAGGAATGAGAGAATGTAATAGATTTGCATTTGGCAACATTTAATACAAAATCATTCTCTTTACACCACTTAGCAAATGAATTTAGCGCCGATTGTGAGGAATGTTGGTCATTTATGGATGTGATAGACTTGAAGAGCTTACAATCATCTGCAAATACCAGCATACACCTGCATTACAGTAGGGTAAAGAAGCTTCCAAGGAGGAATAGGGCTATGGAAGGATTTCACATAGGAAGGGGAGTGAACATTTAGCAATACTTATAAACAGATACCTGGAGGTTGAGGCAGTGATGGCTTTAGAGCATACAACAATCACTGGATGTGTCAAAAGTGAGTTCAGGAACCTAGCACTGTTAACAATGGGAAGCTGATGACAGGAAACAGAATTGTAGGTGCTAAAATTTTAAAATATTAATTTTTTTATTTTGGTAAAACCTTGAAGGGTGTAGGAAAGAGACAAAAATATGTGATAAAAATAAAACAACTGTTTTCCTAATATTATTATTACATAGTTTATTTTAACTGACATTGTTTTTAAAACATATCTGCTTTAACAATGGCATTACAGTATACTGAAAAGGTCATCTTCAGATTGTTCATACAAAATATTTCTCAATTTTCTCAAGAGGGCTTTATAATGTGAAAAAGTAGTTCTACATTTCAAGATGTGATTACAGTGTTTTTCAAACAAACAATATCACTTACATTTAAGTTTTTGATTTCTTCCTTCCTTTGCCTTTCCAGAATTTTCAAAATATTACAAACATCTTGATATCCTTGTGTGTGTGTGTGTGTGTGTGTGTGTGTGTTTTCTTATTTTTGTTTAACTTTAATATAAATACGTCCTCAAATTTTATCTATACGGCTACAGCATGTGGACCCCTCTGATTTGGCAGTTTTTCAACCTGGAATTTACTTTCGCTGCCGGACACAAATAATCATTACATTTTTCTAGTGCCTTCATAGTACTACTTAAAAAACAGAAATTTGATGTAATGTTGACCAAATTTTTTAATATTTGGATCATTCAACAGTGACTGTAGAATTTCCAATGAATGAATATACATAATTTTCGTCCAGGTCATCAGTAACAAATTTGAAATCTTTAAAATTGCACGCATAGTGACTACAGCACTCAACTCTGTCCCACATCATGATTTTACTGGGTGCAGTGGAATAAAAATATCAGGATTCTTGGTCTTCAATAAATGAATCCTAACTGGAGATATACAAACACTTTATTACCATTTGAGATGAGTTTATCTAGGTTTGGGTAAAGCATTAATATTTTTGAACACAACTGGAACATATGAATTACGTAAGTCAGACAAATCATCTCGGGGTAATTCACTACAAGACTAAACGCAGCTTTCTTCATGTAAGCTGCTGCACCTATTAAGATAAGCAAAACATTGCTATATTTTACCCCATTAGACTAAAGCAAGTGAACTGTCTCCATAAAAAGGCTTGCAGAGGTAATATGATTTGCTGCAGTCATTTTCTTGTACATCAGAAGAAAACATTTTCTTTCGTTTTTCCAAGTCACACAACATTCACAATTTCTTTCCTTGATAGACTGTATGAATATATTCCATGGTTTCTTGATAGCACTGTGGAAAATATTTCTTACGAAGTGTGAACGTATGAAGGGGAATCAATGTTAATGTATTTAACAAGAACATTTTTAATAAAAGATAGTTTACCTTAAAGAGTGGTATGTCAATAGAAACAAAATCATAACACAAATCTGAACAATATATGGAGAATTTTGAAGGTGTACTTAAAAGTCGCAAGATTTGACGCGATGCTAAAGTGACTAGGTGGTGCACGGTTGGTTGGTTGGTTGGTTTAATTGATTCAAAAATGATTGATGGTGAGTCAAAGGCTAAGGTCATTAGTCCCGTAAGTTTAGTGGATGTATTTTCCTTACCGTTGGCGAACAGGGTTTCCCCCCAACTACTTGGGGATTGGGGATTGAGATGATGGTTACATCCCGCCATATTTTCGGAATGCTATCCTCGTACCAGATTCAATAGAAATGTTTAAGCAGGGACTGTAAACATTCTTCTGACAATGTTCAATACATGCCAGAACAGGTTTCCTCTAGTTCAGAAGTTTTTTTAAATTATTTTATTATAGTATTATGGCGGAGGTGTAGATTAGGTTATGGCTCATTCACAGAGAAAGTGTCATTTTGGCTTTCTTCTACACCTGCCAAAAATTAAGGATAGTTCTCCATTCTTCTTTTGATAGAAAGGAATTATACACTTACAAATAGGCAAGCTCTTCAGTTGTTATGTTGGGTGATGCTTGCCCATTCACTAAAAGTCTGGGCACTGCAGATGAAGGGAGGTTTTCTTTAATTTTCTGTATTTTCATCCAAATGGCATTAGGAGACATACAGCACGCAAATGATAAGTAAGCTCGTATTTAGGAAAGGGATTTGCTTTCATGCACGATTCTTCTTGCTCAGTTGATTGATTGACTATTTTGTTTTTCCGGGTGTGTCCACTGCTAAAGGTCATCAGCCGTGTAAGTGTGGCGCATGTATTGTGTCACAGGAAATGGCAGTAATCTTCCAACGCTGGATAGTGAGATCCGATGACGACCTATAAGCCGGCTTGATTTTCCCCAACCACGTATCTCCCACTATGTAATGTGGTCATGTGTGTATATGTAGTGCATATGAGTGTATAGGTAAGGGGTGAGGATAGGACAAGAATGAGAAAGGAAAGATAGCGCGCGGTCCGTGGCCCGTTTCTTAGAGTACTGCACCGGCATTCGCCCGGTGTTGATCGGAGAAACCATGGAAAACTACAGATCAGAACCGCCGGTCGCTAGGATTCTAAAGACAACGGCGGATTAGACCTAGCTCTGTAGCTAGTGTCGAAAATCCTGCGACTGTCAGGTCTCGTACCCTATGACCTCCCGGTCAGGCATTGCAGTGACATCAGTTGAGGGCCTGAGCCACCTAGGGTGGTCTTTACGCTCAGACTTATGGCCGTTTATATTCTGTTTTTAACAGTTGCATAATAGTTCAGCCGTATTAGTGACTACTTCCGCGCCTTGATCTCATTCGCCCATTCATGGTCCCACCATGGTACTGAATCACGTCAAAGTCCGCTGCAGATCTAGGAACGATAACGGTGGCAACGGCAATTAAGGCATCAGTGAAATGGAAGGTCATTGTAATGTTGATCGTTTCAGTGATTCCGGGCACATCAACTCACAGGGTCATTAATAACGTAAGGATAGTGCATGTTTTGCACGGGATGTGGTTGCGACCTTTCCCTCGCTGAATGGCGAGATCCAGCGCCGACTTACCGTCGGCTAGCGGAGTTTTCTCCAACAAAGTATCCCCCACTAGCGGAGCACCGCCCCAGCCGGGGCAAGCTCTAAGCTCTCGACCGGCCTCCCGATATGTGTGCTTGTGGGTGTAAGGGGAGATAATAGGACAAAGAGGAGGTAGGAAAGATCGCACGCGGTCCGTGGCCCGTTTGTTAGGGTACTGCTCCGGCATTCGATTGGTGTTGGTAAAAAAACACGAAAAACTACCGATCAGAGCATCCGGCCGCCAGAAATCTCCTCCAGACAGCGACTGAATTCGACCTAGCTGACAAGCTAGTGTCGAAAATCCTGTCCACGTCGCGACGCGAACCTAGGCCTTCCCGGTCAGGACTGCAGTGACATCAGTTGATGCCCTGAGCCATTCCGGTATGTAATGATGTTATCGAAAGGCTCATCAGTTAGGCAGAGGGACCGCTCAAACTCCAGTCAGTTCGCTTGCTAGAATACCGTGAGGGGTCAGAGCAAGAGAGGGGGAGATGGAACGATAACTTTGATATGGAGGGCTAGGTAATCACTCTCAAATAAATCAAGGACAGGACAGTCCCGGGTTGGGCCGAATGATTGGGTCAATTATGCTAAATCTCTACATGAGAAGTTCCCAGAGGAAAATGGATATGAAGACAGAATGAAAAGAATGAGATTGTAGATCTCCCTGGCTTTTTTCACAATGGTCCACCTCTGATAAGTTCGAGAGAAACGCCATAGAAGATTGTGGACATTGAAGTTCCATCTGTGAGGAATGGTTGTGGTAGCTACGTGATTAAATTTTAAAAAAATCTTCTTCCGACACTTCTTGACCAGGAGGGAGACAACTATTACAAACCGGGGAGAGGGACGGAATGCTGACATTCACACGACTTGGGGACTGGAATGTGATTTCTTGACAAGAGGAATGGTGGACAATGGTGATACCACCATAGGCACGGGAACTATCATCAACACTGAATCTAATAATATAAAACTTCTGTGTAAAAGACGTTTCCTGAAAAAAAAGCAGAGAGGGAATAACGAGATCAAATTAGTCGGAGGTCTTCCGAATGGGCACGCAAGTTATTTAAATTCCACAATACGAGAGCCTTGAGAGTTTTGCGTCATATGCGTCTTTTTCCTGCTTCTGCTGTGTCCAAAACGCCATGGAAGTCGGCACCGCCGGGAGCCACCTCCACAACAACATCCCATCGCCACTACTAGATAGGACGGAGAACTTGTGATTGATCCTCATCTTTTAGTGCGAGCTCACAGGGCTTTTGTTGTGGTCTGTTTGGCAGGTGGCCCTGGGAGTAAGGGTCGCCTGTCAACAGAAGGTTCCGGAGTTGACTCAGTGGAAGTTTCTGTGACAGTTTTACCAGCTTCCTTTTACTTGGAAGATGTAATCATCTTAATCGTTTGTGATATTTCCATAGTGATATTTATTGGAGACTCTTGGAACTCTGCGTTGCCCATTACCTGAATGTATCCTCTCTACATACAATATGCTGGATAGGGATAATGACGTTTTTGGACAATTTACAAAAAACTGTCAACAAGGCCCTGTAAGTGTGCTCGGCACATGCTTCCCAGTCCCACATACAACACATTGAAGACTAAAACATTTGAAGTTTGCAGATTATGACATACAAAACAGGTTAGTGCAACACGCATTATAGAGCTTGGAAACGATGCGTCTCAGGCCCCGTCAAACCAGGTTTTGCATCCCAAAGTATCACTAGTTTTGTGGGGGCAACCGAGTTGTGAGCACACGAGTTCCGGGGAACATGTAGGGAACGAAAGTTGTGTTATAAACATATTTACGTCTAAAGAGTCACAATATTACTTGTGACAATTTTTTTACGACATATCATCAGTTGGGTCAGAAGCTTCTGAAACAGGACATCACTCTCGTTGGAACACTGAGCGAAAACAAATCTATTCTGCTAAAACTTCTCCAGACAAAAGGCATGGAAAGCTACTATTCCACTTTCACTCTTGCGAAAGACCCGACATCAGTGTCGTATAGGCCAACAAACAACAAGAGTGTTGGAACTCTTATTGAAAACAGGAGATCCAATGAATAATTCAACACATCAAATTCAGTTTTGATAGATTCTACTTGAAAAACGGGAAGATTTTTTTTGTTTTGCAAAACAGACAAAATTGTTTTGCACTGCTCCAAATATAAACATTCACAAGTAAAAATCATATCAATGACATTAGTAACACATGTATGTAACACAGTTTTTCTAGTTTTTTAGTCTAGACGGGATTTTTATCTACGAGACGAAGACATCACCTCACGAACGATGATTAGTAATAATAAATGTAAATAATAAAATACAAAATTAGAAATGTTAAGTTACGTTAGGACAAATAGTTTGCTGTGCTGTCACCAAAAGCGTGTACGCCTCTTCAAGCGAGCGCCTAGAAGAGCAAATAAAAGTTGTATCACGTGTAGGTGTTAAATAGGTACCATAGCAGCTTATTGTTAGTTAAGAAGCGTTTTTAAACTTAAGAATAAAATAAAAAATATATACCTACAATGCGGTCAAAATTCACCGGATACCCACTGCTGTTGGTTCTGAAGATACTGGCCACGTAGCTATTAGTGTTGGATTTCTCTGTGCTACGTTTACATTCTCTGGTGTAGAATTGTTGTGCAACTTGCTTAACATGAAAGAGACACTGCAGTTCATCCCCCATATGCTCAATAGGCTCTGAGGAAACCGGTCCAGCAAATCCATCTGATTCTCTTCGAACTACGTTGTCCTTGATTTGTGAAGAGGATGTGCTGATAGAGAAAATGTACGAAATTTAATTGTCAAAGTGTGGGAAGCATGCTATTCACTAAAAAGTTTTCTTTAAACACCTGCGCTCATTGTTCTGTTGACCAAAACTAATTGCCCGAGCTCAAACAGAGAAAAATCATCTCAGACTGTACCACGCTCGCATATCACAGTAGCCAAAATACACTCGGGTAAATATGGGCATTTGCCAGGTCCACATATGCTCATCTGGGCGTCACCTCACGTCTTACTACTCACCTTGAGGCTCTTAACATTTTTCCACTGTTCCAAAGAGCAATAACAGTTAGGTTGCATCGTTTTTAAAGGCCGTTTTGCACGGCACAACTTCCATCCAATATCGCTTGTAGACAGCTTCCAGGCTTTATTTATTTATTTACTTTGCTTCTGTATAAAATCCGTCTCAAAAGACCAAAGCTCTGCTGGCCACTTCAAGTCATCGAGTTGGCGTCTTTGCGCCTCCACGGCGAGATCCCGAGCGATTTTTTTTTTATTTTTTATTTTTTTAGTTATATTGATTTGTAAATATGATCTATGTTTAGGGAGCTGGCGAGTGTGTTTTGCTGCCCAAACAACTGCCGACCGTTCAAGCAATCATAATAAACAATCATGAAATGTCAGAATACAAAATCGAAGGGGCGGGCAACGCGATGTGCGGTGCGATATTCAATTTCGCGAAAGTAGTGCAACTTGCTGCAGTCGACTTATTTTTATCCACATTTCATATAGTACAGAAAAACTACCTTCACTTTTTCCATTTGGTTTTTGTGCGGATTATTTAGTGTAATGTGTAAACCCTGCGATATTTTTGTGTCAAACTTGGGGTTAAAAAAATGATATGGAAATTGTTCCCTTTAAAACGGGTTTACGCGACGTTGTGCGTACGTTCTTGTGATCAGGGGCTTCTTGGAAGAAACACATCCTAAATTCAAAGTACTATTGATTCTACATTGATCATTCTGTTACTAGACTTTGTAACATATGATAAGGATTGTTTGACAATTAGTTCGTATCGTCAGAGGTGATATTCCAGATCTTTTATTAGGGGGGCGAAGGGCCTCTCCGCACAAGATTGTAAAAAGTTCACTTAAACCAAATGGCATATGAGTGGGTGCACAATAATTTTAACATGAACATAAAAGTTTTGAAAGATTTCTTAGCTCTCGTCCCACCATCCACACTTGTCTACAGCAGAAACATGTTTTTTCATTTTAATTTTTTGAATTTACACTACTTTATCTGATTGAAAAAAATATAAAAAATATAAAATAGATTTACACTATCAGAAAAACATTTTGATGATGATGTTTTCTCAACTTCAAATTCAAATGCAAATTCGCTTTTGAAAAAATAACAAAAAATTGTTTTATTGTGTTACAACCTTGGAACCGGCTTGAAAAAAATATGAAAAGTTCTTAAAACACAAAATGTGAATTTTTCCACATTATTTTGACTGCTGAACTGTAGATAAAAAAATTAAAACCAATTTTTCAATCATTTTAAATAACATACACTTTGAAAGTGGCTGCAACGGTTCTGTGCATTTATTTCAGTATTTATTAAACATTTGTAATGACAATTGATCTGATGTCCAAAAATAAAAATTTATGATAATGGTATTGACATTACGATTAAAACAACACATTTGCTTTTATAACAAAACAGTGAAATTACTCTAATAACATTCAATATTACAGAAAATATTCAATGGAGAAAATAGATTTGCTTTTTTTCTCAGTGTACACTTGGCATTAAACAAATATCATACTTTTTTTTGCATGCGTGCATCTCTCTCTAACGCACTGTATGTTCACGCTTGAATTACCGGATGACAGAATAATTAGTCATTTTTACTCTTATGGAATCATTTTCAATTAGTTCAGAAAATCTTGCCCCAAAATCTACAACTACATTTGATTCTTCTCCAGATTTCCTTTCCACCTCCATATTTTTGTCATCTAATTTTTGGAAAGATTAAAACTCAACAAACTCTGTTTAATTTTACTTCTGCAATTTCTTTATTAAACTTTTTTACAATCTTCGAGCAGGGTCCAAAAATAAATTATCAGTTCCCCACCAAGAGACTGAGACACATTGAATGACACCTTATACGTTTCAATTGGTGGACGGGAAGAGATCTAACTGTGAGTGATGGATCTTCACAGTGAGTGATGGATGCACTCGTGCTCACATGCAGTTACTCAAATACAGTATAGGTTTTTTTCCCCCTCAAAATACCAAAAAAGGAAATCTTTTATAACATAAATTTAAAGATACGCGAAACGAAATGTCTAAATAAATATTTTTTAAATTGTCCCCACCCCTGAGTATCATACACTAACACTGGGTCTGAGTCTCATCATTTGCAACTATTTAAATCTGATAAAAAACCCAAACTTGTCGGCCCTCACAACACTTTTGAAGTTGGTATTCTCCATTGCAAATTTATCCATCCAGGGCACTGTCAAAATCAAATAGCGTCCAGGCACTGTATGTTTATGTACTAGTAGCTACAGAACCTGACATTAAACTATTGGTACATGCACTGGGGGGGTGCCCGGAGACTTTTGGCTACATGCGTGGTTATAAAATACTGAATTCCAAAGTATGTTATCTGTTTAGCAGTACAAAGCAGATCACATTTTTTTCATCTAAAGTTTTTGATTATTTGGATTATAAATATAAAATACCCTTTAGGTTTTAAACAACCGCTTGAAACAGATACACTCATTTTTTAAGATTTAGAAATGTTTAGATCAACTAGATGAGCCCCTGACTATACCCAAAAAGAAAATAATTGTACAAACAAGATTGCTTCTTACAAATTTACATTCAAATTTAAAAATGAATTCTGCCAACAAACACATGGAACACACATAAGAGGATCCTTAAGTAATATGTTAAGTGAGGTTGAACTGGGACAACTGGAGGTGAACTTATTTACAGGTTTTTTGTCCACAATTTTTAGGCTGTAATTTTCTTAAACCACTGGAAACAGACACATTAATAAAAAAAGATAATTTTGATTAAACAATTTTCTTAAAATGCTCCATTAATTTTTTTTTTTTTAAATATTCCATCTCTACATTTCAATGGCTTCTTTCCTTCTCGAGGAGTTACTGCAGAATAATTTTTTTACCTGAATTTCTGTGATGAAAACTACATATGTTATAAAAGATCCTCTAAAACAATGTAGGTATGTTTTAAAAAGTCAAGAATTTTCAAGATCGGAAGATGTGAGGGAAACCAGGTTCCCTAAACAATGTTTTGTGCAATATAGTCAAGAAATAATAAAGATACATTTATAATAGTGTCAGTTTTAAATGACTGTCTAAAATACCAAGGGATATATAATATATATATATATTATATATATCCCCCCCCCCCCGATTTCTGTACAATTTTCCACTTTTCACAAATATTAGATACCATAATTTCTTCAGTTCTAAATTTTTTGACAATATTACTTGCTATACACAAATTTATACAAGCATATATATAGACAATGAATAATTAAAAATTACCCGTGCTCCCATTGCCACAGCAGCTACAGATACCATTGTTCCAAGTTCATGACCAGAATAACCTATTTGAATATCAGGAAATTCTGACTTGTAAAGATTTATAACTTCCAGATTTATTTGTTCCACAGGAACAGGGTATGACGAAACGCAGTGAAGCAAAGAGAACTTTGCATTCATTTGCTTCATCAAGGTGTAAACAGCACGGACTGTCTCTAAGTCTTGCATACCTAAAACAACATGGTAATAAAAATTACGCTGTGCTACTGGCACTTTTGTAACAAATGATGAACACCAGATGAACACAATTACTACGTCTATTATGTTATAGACATCGCTATTCAATCAAAATATGTTCTCACCTTTGAATAAGTCATTTTTTGACAAAAGAACTCATTTATTAATCAAGAGGTAAGAAAATGGTACAAATTTTTAAGTTTTCCAAATTCTGAAACATGACATTGCATGTAATAGTCTTAGGCATCATCCGATACTCTTAATGCAAAATAAAATGTGCAGAAGTAGATAATCAGTTACTAATTTGTGTATGCTATCTTTCTCTAGATGGCAAACAAATGTGAATGTCATAGCAAAAAAGAAGTTTTTGTAGCAAATCTCAGAATATATATAAAATTTCTGTGAATACTTCAACATTTTTGGGACATATTCGCAAGCATATTTTAGGGTCCTTTCAGGCTGGCATAAACTTTCCAGGTCTATAAATCAAGACGAAGTAGGATGATTACAATTAAGTATGATATTGTAAGAATGAAGAGAAGAATAACCTTGGCCCTCTGCTAAAGCAATTTCCAGAAATCTCAAACCCTCCATGGCTTTTCTCAGCTACTCAAAAGTATTTCTGCCAAGTTTGGGAGTGATTGCTCCATTGAAAATTACCAGTACTGCAGATTAATAGAAAAAATGCACATTATTCACAAACCACCTGTTTTACTTGCCACTGAAAAGGTTACAAAAAGAGATTGTGTATTTGATGATAGGAAAAATATAAGTATAGGAGTCATACAAATACACCAAAAATCATAGTTCTGGGTTCGCCCGCAACTTAGGAAGATTCTATCCTTTGCCAAAACCGTTGACTTTTCTGAAAAATATTCTTTCTCTACACTTCCTTGAATCTTTCTCAATGCTGAGCAATTGGTCACTTGTGTCATTAATTCTGCCACAAAAGTTAATATGTGATTTTATCTGTCACATATGAGCTTTGATGACAATGAATAACAATGAATTAGGTAGTTTGGATACTGCTGTTATATCAGAAATAACCATTCAAACATTTGTCATGCATGATTTTAATACACAATTTTTTAATAAGAAATACAAACTGCTACCCAATGTATGTCATGCAATTCGGAATATTTTTTGACATACCTGTAGATATAACCATTGGGCGGTTTTTAGTAGCAGCATATTCCAACAAGGGAAAATTATTTGTATCACCAGAACCAATTTTTAAGAATGGAACATCCATGTCATGTAATACATCCACAGAAACCTAAAACAAACCTTACATATACTAAATGAAATACCATTAAAGAACTATGATTAAAAATTTGGAAATAAATTACACAATCCATTGCTGAAGCTGAAAAAATTATACCAATATTCCTTGCATAACTTTGCAATTCCTTAAAGTCCTCAATCGAAAATTCTAAATATTTCTTATGCTCTCCGTATGTTTTACCCCAAGAATGTTGTCCAGTGTACGGGCGATTCAATGCAGCAACATTGAATTTCTCTGTCAAACATGATTTTTGAAACTTAACACAATTTGCACCAGCAGCCTGAAACAAAAAAAACAACAGATTAACATGAACTACCGGTAAATCGTGAATGCCTCATCGCGTTTCAATTAATGATCTAGTGTGACTCACTTGTCATACCTTCGAAGCATCTATCAACTGCTTTGCAATTTGTATATCACCTTGGTGATTTTGCCCAATTTCTGCTATTACAAAGCAAGGATTATTCTTATTAATCACGTATCCAGGAGAAATAACAAAATCATTCGCCGAACACATCTTCTGCGATTATGTACAAGAAAACATGCATTGAAGTTTCTCTACACCTGTCAAATACAGTGGTATAGCGGCTACATAGCTTTTTGTTTTTTACGTACACTGCGATTTATCCAACTCTGCCCCTGGCAGATATCAGCTGTTTGACGATTTTATCCAATCGGGAGCGTAAACGTCACCATAGTGACATCACTGTTGTGACGTCCAGGGTCCCGATTGGATGAAACTGTCAACATGGATTATACTGCCAAGGGCAGACATATAAATTGTAGTATAGAGTAGCGTATTCCAATAGAGATGTCCAGAATGACATCACGATTGGCGGGGAAGTGTTGGGTGGCAATCTCTGCTGGGCGCGTAAGCTATTCCTAGATAATTAGTAAGAGTTTGGCTGTATTATGCGGTTGCCGAGGTGCATGTGTCTTATCACATTAGTTATTTACAATGATATTTGCTTTCTTACGGTTTATTTAGGTTCTGGGTGCAAATTTCGTCGACAAATTGGATTTGAAAAAGCACTATTTTATCAACACACGTCTAGTTGCTACCTTTTTCTTATTGAAAACGTCTCGAAGTAAATATTACCATGACCTTAGCGATGATGCTAAGATGCTGCTATATAATAAAATGAAATGTTTGAATTATTTGGTTCCACATACCCTTTCATCGGGTAGAAAAAGTCCCAACGAATTTCAAGCCTCTGTGCAATTAACGTATAGTGCGGGTTTATAAATCTGCCCTTCAAGGCCCTACTTCACAGTGGCATTATGTCACTGTTTTTCGCGTCTTTCTCGGTTGTGCTGCTGGATGTCGCATGATCGCGACCGAGAAAAGCGCGAAAACAGTGATATAATGCCACCGTGAAGTAGGGTCGGCATAGAGGGACAGTTAAACAACCACCTTCATTAAACTGTAATAATCGTTTGGAAAAAATGTTCGTAATTTTTCACGGATCTTTCAAAACTAAGTTAACCAGAATTTAATATACCTTATTTAACTATTCATTTTTCAATGCATTAGTTGCAATAAATATTTAGTTATTTAAAATATAAATATATTGCACTCTTTATCATATTTGTAAAAAATGTTTGTAGTTTCCTGGGTTGGACGGTTTAATTTCATTATTCAAGTCACGCGCTTAAAATATTACTTGTTATCCCCAATGATTTTAACTTTAACATTTTTTATAAAATGTATTTTCAATATATTTTGCTTGGCAAGTTTTAATGAACATTTGATTCCATTTCTTGTAATACAAATGGGACACGACTTGATAGGCTTGGTGGCAGAAGAAAACAGTTGATTTGATGACCTACATATTATTTGGGCTTGGCTTTTACACAAAATAAAGTCTTGAAGAAAACGTCTTAGCTTTTATACAAACAAAGTCTTGAAGATCCACAAAATTTTAGTGAATCATACATATTATGATACAGTGTTTGTTCAGGTAATGCAAGTACAATAAAATGACAAATAGTAATCGTGATGGCATGACGTAGATGACAACTTATTTTTTGGGAGCTATGTCCTTTAGTAGGTTGTTTATATTACTGCAAAAAATGTGGGAAATCTACATATGTTTTCCCGTGAAATGTCTGAGAATGATAGGAAAAGATTTATAAGTGTGAATTGCGAAATACGAAGATGGGCGGAACTTGTAACTTACTGTTGGCTTGAAATAACCATATACTAAATTTTCTTATTTCAAACTTTTTTCCTCTTTGTTCCGAGCATGCTATAATTTTACACTCCTAATTTTTAGAAACAGTAGGGCATCTAAAAAAGCTTACTCTGTCTCTCCTGGCCCCTTTCCCCAGTGAACTATCGGACATGACTTGATTGTCGTGAAAATACAATCCTTGCCCCCCACCCGCTCGGGCGGCGGTGGCGGCTCCTCAGGCGGGGAAGTAGGGCCGCGATGATACGAATCCTTCCCCCTCCGCCACTTTTCACGCATGCGCAGACCAGGATTTTTACTTTCTCGCCCTTAATAATATAAGAAGAGAAATTATTGTAATCGTGCGCTGGAAAACGGCGAATTTTCGACAGAAAATCTCCTATTGTCGGGCCCTCGTAACGAAAAAGTGAATAAATCCTGTTCCTACGAGTAAATTACTTCCTCTAAAAGTAAATTACTTCCTCTAAAACATGGAGTTGCCATGATCCTTGATCCCGAAAGAAACGATTGAAGGCAAAAGATCTTTTTGTTTCACTGTCTGACCGTCCTCGGGCTTGTAAAACTGCCATCGTAACATTGATCAGAAAAGCAGATAAGCCGGAAAATAATCCTTCGTCTTACCGACCAATATGTCTCAAGAAATCAGACTTGCAAATACATGGGAATCTGGCTGGATCTAAAACTCACATTTCTGCCCCATTCAAAATTTTGTGTAAAAGAGCTTGAAATTTGTTGAATAAACTTATAGGCAAAAGTCCACAGATAATAAAACTAAATTATAATGGCGCGTTTCTACCAATCAACGGATACGGAGCAGCAGTGTAGGCACAGAGGTGGACTTACAGGAATATATAATGTAGGTATTCAATAGCGCAGAGCGCGTCGCACTACTTGCTATCACAGGCGCCTACAGGACAAACGCCACCACAAGCCTTCAAATCCTAGCAGGTCTGTTTCTACTAAAACTGGAAGTGAGGAAACTTGCAGAATGACGGGCTCTACGAAACCTGGAGATTGTGGAATTTTTGGGAACTAGACGCAGCTGAAGACATGAGAGAAAAGAAGCTGATGCGTTTGCTGAATGAGTGTTAGCAGCTTGGGACACACAAGGCACAAGGAAGGACAACAAAAAATATAATAAATGTTTCATTCTCTGTACAAAATGTACTGTGCTAAATGAGAGAAAACGACCATCGAGAGAAACGGAACAGTTCCTTACTGGCCACAGATTTTTTCTGAGTATCCGTTTAGAAGAGGCCTAACAGACATCCCCACATGTCCATGTGGAATGTCAGGCGAAACACTTACGCCTGCCGCTGTAGCTCAATGCCAGCGTGCGGGCTACTATTCTATCCTCTCAGTTGCACATGTTTTAACTGAATGTAAGCTGCAGGCAGTGCATCACATGTCCTTCTGGCCTAGTACAGGATTTTTACCTCAAACATAACTACGAGCAACATTTAAAGAGATACACATTTTTGGATATTTTGAAGCATCATGTTTGAAAATTTGTAAAAATCGTGAAACTATTTTAAACATTCGAACTACACTCTTACAATAAGACCGCCATCAAAGCCTCGGAAGTTCTCAATTATAATATTCATATGTGCTCTTACGTGTGTATTAATTTGAATACATCAATATTCATATTTATACAAAACCTCAATGCCGCCTGTGCGACTGTCGGCCTCAGAACCAAGGCGAGTTGCGTCATTAAAAGCAAGTGGACACGAGACGAACCACCAGCCTTCCTGTGGCGACGAACGTGTGCCTAAATTCAGTGACGTAAGACTTACGACGTTCCCCTCTGCCGTCATGGAAGTGGGTGACCAACAAGCGGATGCACAGACAATATAAATACTGCAACACAAACGTAACACTGGACAAGTATTATGCATGATCTACACATACATTCAGAACAGATAAAGTAAATATTGTGCACATCGAGAGCACGAAACAATGTCCCGGTAAGAGCGAAAGCTTTGGGACGCGGCCTAAACGCATGTCAACACATGACATCTACAAATGTCTGTCCGTCCGTCTGCTTCGGTCCGATTGTGGTCAACGTTAACGCCTAAACCGTTCTCCGAAACAGATATTTCCCGATCGATGCGAATGAACATGTGGCTTTGAGAGTTTCAAATTGACGGCACTTTTGACGATACTTTACATAATGCCTCAAAAACATGCAAGATGTGCTTAAAAATGTGTCGATTTTTATTTTAACCTTTGTCTTCAGATAGTGTAAAGGACACTTATGAGAATGGTGCAGATCTCATGCTCGTAGAAATCCCTGATTTTTCGAAAATTGCAAAAGTGTAATTTTTTCTGAGTGTCTTCCTACAACTGCAATACACATTTTTTCTTACTGGAATCTGTACTTTATAGAAAGATTTTGATTTACGTTCATGTTCAATTTTTCCAAAATATGAGTCGTTTTTAAGTAATTTTGCGCGAAATATAGGCAATATAATTTAAGAATATAATTAAAGATTTTTTCGCAAAAACCGTTCCGATTTTTTTTTAATTTCTCTTCGTTTACATCAAATGACGGTAAAATATGGCGCTACTCCCGTTTTCGACAAATCCTCCTTATTTTCGAAAATTGCAAAACGTTTTTGAGTGCAGTGCTACTGTGATCATCAGTAAACATTATTTTTTATGAAAATTACATTGAATTTACATTTTGTGCGATAAGTATTATGTTTATTTGAAAACCGAGTCTTCAATGTCAGTAGCGTACTGGTGCACAAGAAGCCATGATATCTTAACGGAAGCCATAAACATAAACACTTAACGAAGAGGTGTGGCTGAACAGTTGTCACGGCGGAGGGATACTTTCCGAATAACATGAGGTGATCACTTGTTAAATGAACTGTAATTTCGCTCATTTTTAGGCGGATTCTTCGATGTTAACCTTCATTGCTGCGCGTTGCTGTGTATTAAACGCATCGCAACCATAGAGGAGAGATATCTCTACCCTATGATCGCAACGCTCTTGCCTGCAGGATTTCATAGGGTGTTAACTAGGACCCGAATCCATCTTAAGTAACTATCTTCGTACTTAATTATTTACACTTTTCAATGATAAAAGAAATTTTTCGACCCTACCAAAAGGCAAAAAAGGGTATCATTTCTCAAAATTCCGTAGTAAACTACACATGTATGCTCAATCACTGCGCATTTTGAAGTACTCCTCGGGAGTCATTGTGCTTTCGGCGCTACAATGAAATTTTATCTCCCCCCGATCTTCTTTATTCGCTGAGTATTAAAACACAGGAAGTCTTTCCCCTATGGTTAAACCAAACTATTAAGTAATTATCGACACTGAAGTCGGCTGGCGAAAAAGAATCCTCAAATATGACAGTTTCAGTTTACGCAAGAATGTATCTGTTTCTAATTTATCTATCAAATATTGATCTTCTGTAATTATTATAAATTGTCATAAATAACACGTAACACTAATACAAATTTCTTTTGCCGTTTAATAATTTTTTTGTACGTTTTAAAATTGGGGGGAATGATGATTGTGTAATTATTTAGGAAAATTACCGCTGCGTTAAAAGGGGAGAGTGTATCCAAATACTCAAAATTTACGTTACGTCGTTTTTGAACGCCACCTAAACGCCCTTAATGTATTCATTGTCCTGAGTGAAAGCGGGTAGAATCTCAAAAATGACATTTTTTTTATTTTACAACTAGAGCTCCAGTGAAGCAATGTATCCGATAAAACAGTCCTTATGAAAGAGAATTTTGTGAACGAAATGCGAATGAACTAATCAAAAGAAGAAAAACCACTGTAAATAACAAGCGTGTCTCAAACAAAATTAATTTCACTGATCACGACGACCGCGCAACCAAAAAAATAACTAACGCTCTAAAACACGCATTCGCCTACACAATCATGCCTTCCCGCCAAAAGCTGTGACATCATTCTGAATGTCTATTGCAAAGGTGCTCACAAATACACTGACGCCCACTAGCGATTCAAGCGGCAGATGATATATACTAGGACACAAGAATGTATTAAGATGCACAGAAATCACGTGTACTTGCTTTCGCGTGGTTATAGGCAGTTGTAGATATCACCGGGGTAAAACTCGTGTAGTTTTCAGTGTACCGGCAATAATCAAACTTTCCTTTGACGATATTTGAAAACAATAGAAAGAGCAGAGTGAACGGTGGGGACTATAAATCATAACCTATCCTTGGAACTGAAAGTTTGTGAAAAGTGGAATATTTTTCAATCGGCGTAAACTGTGTGGGAATGGATTCACAGGTGACTGAAAATGCAAAATTGGCAGAAAAGTACAAAGAAGACGCAAACCAATGCTTCAACAGTATGTATTGTTTGTACGACAATTTTACGTTTGTGATAACTCCTATTTTCTCATAATCTATTAGTAACGGCAGATTTAATAGAAGTAAACTTCAAGGGCAAAAGTTGTAGTAATATAAACAACAGGTCATAAGAAAGCATGTCATTAGAAGTTTGTGTATGTAAAGAAGTGTTTTTTGTGTGACTGAATATAATTCAGTATGTTGAACTCTTACACTTTTGGGGTTAATATTTTACCTTGTAGTTCACTTCGCTTGAAGGCATGATGTACTGTTTGTTTTTTTACATACAAGTGTTAGTATCCCAAAACGACCTTGTTTCTGTAAAATTCATATGCTTTTTTATACATTTATGGGAAAGTTGACTCAGCTTGTTTGAATGATTTGAAGTCGACGTTGAAGCTTCAGCCTTCGTGTTCTATAATTTACAAAAACAGCCGGCAAACGCAAAATTTGCAACGCATTTTTATACCATATGAAACCTGAAAGATATGTTTTGGTTCCCCTATTCCGACAACGCCCGCTAACGGAGTGACAAAACCAACCAGAATTTGCTCCTTTGTATTTATTTGTTCCTTTGTATGTTCAGTCCATTTTTATGCTGCTTTAAATGATGGATAGTAAAAAAAATAGATTCATACATAGTCATACTCTGAAAATATTGTTCAATGGGATTAAGGTTTTGAGGGATGTAATATTCCTTATTGAGGATGGGTTGTCTTTACATTAAACCTGGTTATTTACTTAATGTTTGTAAAAAGATTTTTTTAACTATGTGGATTTAGTTTTATATTTTTTAATTGCAGTTTATTTCAATAAAAAGTTAAGTAGCAGGCTACAACTCATGAGGTCAATACATTATTTGTTATTTTTTGAACATAGTGAATCATAAGCAGTAGAGGCTTATGGTTAAACCTCACCATTGCAATGATACATGTGGAATATTAAACCAGAAGTGTATGTACAGGTCACTAATAGTACATGTGACCATATAACCCGATAACTACCAATAAGTCATTTTTAACATTTCTCTAAATGACCTGAAAATGTGAAAGACTGGCAGGTTCAAAATTTAGCCAAGTTAGGCATCTCACATACTCTGCAAAATGTATTGTAGAAATCTGAAGCACAAAATCTCCCGAGGAAGGTTGTTGCAACCTGGAGATAGTTTTCAATTGATTATGATAGGAGTAATAGTAATATTAACAATAACTGTTCAGTTTGTCCTTGAAAGTATGTAAAATATAAGAAGATTTGGAAAAATAAGTTGTGGAATAAAATATAAAAAAGTCCGCAAGTAAATCATAAATGTCGTAATATATCACACATTCATTTTTCAATCAAATTTTGATCGTAAAGTAACATCTTTCATGCTGTTTTTTGGTAAACTACAATTTATTATTTGAGTAGAAGTTTTTTACGTGAAGTAATGGTAAAAGAGTTTTAGTAGTGTTCTAAGACTGAGAGAGACAAATATAAATAAATAGTGATACATAGTCATAGTAGTAACTATTGTGTGCCCCCTCAGTTTATTTGTTTTCTTAGTATATAACAGAATTTTATTCTGGTCTGATATATATATATATATATATATATATATATATATATAGCTGGTAATTTTCTGAATTAGAGTGAAGAATTTGTAGCAGTTGGGGTGTACCTCAGTTATTCTTACCTTTGATACCATTTTTATTAGTTGAGAATTACTTAGTCAAATACTTTTTATTCCTCGAATTGAGTTCTCATCAACACAATGAATATTCCTAAATCCTTTTAGTGAAATTTTGCAGAAGTGACCCTATAGTTATCTAATGTTTTTCTGCAATGGTTTATTTCCTTTATTGGTTTCATGGTGTTTGATTCCATACAAACCCATAATTAATTTTAATATTCAGTTATTTAATTCAGCAGTTCTGTAATATTTCTTTTTGTTAATCACTCAACTCTAGATGACAGGAATCTCAACTTTAGGTTGTAGTATGTAGCGCTCTTTCTTTAGTTCTGAATGACTCTCCTTGCCACTGCAGTCATAAAATTAAAAAAAAAAAGTTTTGGAAGACAGTTATTTGTATAGCAAGGATATTAGAAAACTACATTAAACCCTGTTTTTGGAGACTTACAAATATTTTTAACTATTCAAAAGTAAACATATTGCAAGTTTTAACAAAAGTGTGCTTCTCTTTCTAATCAATACTTACCTCATATATTTTTAATACAGTTGAATGACAATGAAATGTTAAGTTAGTTTAAATCATGACCTGTAAACTTCGGAATTAATAGGATAAAAAATTACGAATGTTACATTTCAATTAACGGCGAATTTCATCAACGAAATTAAAGTTGATAAGCAACACACTTTTTTCTCTTTGATTTAACCTATGGGGTTCGAAATTAATGTTGAACTAGACAGCAAGTGAATACACCGGTTTTTTCATAGCCCGGCATTTGTGCAGTTAACTTGCGTGCCAGGATTAATTTTTGTGCCTGAGCTGACGCCTTGATCCCTGCATCAGTTATCAGCGGTAGAAGGGGTTGTTAAAATGTCTAGGGTGTTATTTGTCCTTTAGAAACAAGTTTGTCGAATTTGCCTTTCATGCTAAACGACAATTTGCATTTTCCCACATGGTTGAAGTCGCATTATTCTCTTCCGCGGATTAGTACCGACAGAGAGGCGCCGGAATTGGTCAGAGTGCAGGTCATTCGTAGCGTTCAAGCATAGTCGAACTTCGTGGTTATTATCTCTTGTGAAGTATAAGAAAAAAAAAAAGAATCTGATTGTTAATTAGTGTTGAACGGACAAATCACGTGGTGAAGTCATAAGGAGTGTGAATAATTATACTAGGTGGACAGAGATGGCGGGGGCGGAACTTTTATTTTGTCGCTTTTTAACAACTTGGGTTATATAGCGACCACTGTGATTGTTTTAACGAAAGGTTGGACTGACGGAAGAACACTTAAGGACAACACAAACACACGTGCCCCCATGCAGGATTCGAACCCGCGACCCTTCGAGCCGTGGCAGCACGGCTCTTCAGCCTGAACGATCTCGACTATTCAGGCCGGCGAAACGGGAATTTGTTTCAAACTGTTGGTTCTAAACAGCACATACGCCCTTGTATTATTTGTAAAGCGAGTTTAAAATTATAATATTGCAAGTGGTATCCTACCAACTCTTTATAAGCAGAGGAGCCAGGCACTTTTTCCAAAATTACTATTTTTGGAAGTTCACAAGAATCAGATTTATACTTTATTTATAAGCGCCTTTTCTCTCTCTACTCAAGGAAACAATTTTAAGGAACAAATTGGGAATGTGTTGGAAATCAAATCCTGGCCGAAGCTGCAGCTGCCGGACTGCCTTTTAAATGAATGATTTACAACGAAATATAACAAAATATTAGCATGTACTACTAAAAATTACAATGATCAAAAGGTCGGTAAATATCACATCCAAGGACATACAAGATTAGATATAAAGGCCATATCTTTGCTTTAATTTCACTTTAAATTTTGTTATTGATATTGTGTAACAAAATTTGTTATTGATATTTATGTAAAAAAGGTCAATAATAATTTTAACATATGTACATCAGGTAAATTCAAAAAGAAATTATAAAGTAGTGTACTAAGAATGTAAAGAATAGTAAAAAAATATGATTAATGCAATTTATAAATATTTATCAAAACCGCTCCAAAATTATCATGTTTTTACGTTGATAAAAGAACGCGCCAAAGAATGGCTCCCGTCTCATTTTCGTTGAACTCTGAAATTTCGAAAATTTAGAAGTGATGCAAGAAAGTAATGCTGTTGTAGCACTAGTTTAAATTTAAATCGGACCTGCCCCATTTGGTAAGCTTACTTTGCAGCAAAACGAGCAAACTTCCGAGCAAAATTTTTCAATGTCGGGGTGTCACGCAAAATAACTACAAAAATTAAGAATATATGTTTCAAATTCAAGGGTTCGCGTCACCAGTCAGATCGTTCAAGAAATATCAATTTTAGTGAAAATCCGGTGTATACTTTTGCTTGCGTTTCAAAATCAATACACATTTTGAGAATACGTATCAGTCTATTTTGAGAACCGTTATCTCCATTACAGTGTAAGAAGCTTGTATACTCACGTAAAGTTTCTCCGTCTATACTTTAAAAATAAAACTCTGCCGGAATTAATTTCGACATCTTTTATCTTTACAATCTCTTCACTTTGTATTTTTGACACAGTATTATTTAATTTTTTTAAAAAAAAAGAAGAAAGAAAAAGTAAAACTATGTAACGTATAGGGGGGAAGTATAAAATGCGGACGTTTTCTTGAGCTTCAAATCCTTGCACCACCTTTTTACTATTCGTAATAATAACAGTAATGAATTTTTAAATCAATAGTTAATAACGTAGTTGCCGGAAGAATCAAAGATCCTACCAAGAAATCGAGGTTCGCAACATCTGAAAACTAGAAATTTTCGCTTCTAAGTAATGGAAAACTTGCTTGCATCGGTAAATGAAGTACGGGCTTAAGTTTATAGTATTGCTAACAAAATAGCAGCCATTAACCCCGGCTCTATTCATACAACTAGCGAAGACGTTTCGTTAGATTTTATAAGCGTCGGCCAAAGTGAGGATTTATTTCATGATATTGCGGTAAAGGGCACGGCGAGTTAGGCCTGAGTCACAGGCGCCTTGCTTTGACGCACGTCGTAGATTAACACAGTATCTTATGCGAAAAGCGTTCGTGTGCCTTTTCGCAGAAGATACTGGGTTATTTCGCGGCGCAACGCGTCAACGCAACGCTCGTGTGTAGGAGCGTTTAACTCTATGGACCTGTGTTCGAGACTTGGCGTGGAGAAAAAATGTTGCTGGTTGATATAGTCTGCAGCTTCACGTAGGAGTATACCGAGGAGCCATTACAAATAATGCAAACAACTATGTGCTGTTGTAGCACTACTAGTTTAACAAGGAAAGAATATGCAATTCAAACCCGTGTTGTACCTTGATTCTAGTTTTTGTCC